AGAGAGAGGGGTTTTAGAGAGTGAATGGCCTCCCCCAACTCAAAGGGCTAAAGGCCCTTTTATAGGGTCAATGAGGTGGCGGGTTTGACCCGTCATCTTTGACCCCAACCCGTAGATCAAGACCTGAACTGCTAGATCCCGATCCGACTGTAAGCGAGAGCACAGACCCGGGGTATATATAACTTATCATAACTAATGAAATTATTTATCTTATTTAATTTATTGATAATGAATAATTTTTTTTAAATAAAGGCATTGTAGACACATAAATTCTAAATTAAAGAAATGCATATTTATTGTTTTTTGTTGTAGCTACTAAATTATTATTTAATTATTTAATTTAATAAGAGTAAAATAGAGTACTAATTATGCCAACTTTGATTGGGATGGAGTTCGAACCTAAGACCTTTCTTATTGAAATCAATAAGTAAGTTAACGGTGAACTAACAAAAATTAACGGAAAAGATAATATTTAACGAGAAAGTTAACCGATAATCATATAATTAAAGATAAATTAGGAAATCACAAAGAAAAATTAAAATCTGATCAATCTGAGCCATTCATTTGATTAAAAAAATTTGACAATCATTTTTTTACACATTATAGATCTAACTCTTTTTTGCTCTTATTAGTATATTAGTTTTTTACGCGCATTGCGCGGTTGAGATAATGTCCAATATTTTTTTTTTAAAATAAGTACTTTAAAGTATATTATATTGGAATTGTTCATGTATAAATAATTGAATATTGAATTTGCGTATTTAAATAGGTAATTCTAAGTTTACAAATGCAAGATAATATAGTCAAGATTGATTATAATTGTCAATAAAATAATTGTATAGGTATGGTTGAAACCAAATACGGGACATAAGGGAGAGCAAATAAATATTGGGGCATAAAATATTAAATATATACTAAATTGAAGAGCTAACTGCTGATTGCCAAACAAGGACATTGCGAGGTAGTTTTCCACTTCAATTTGTTTTGTGATTTGATACTCTTTTTGTCAATAAAGCCCCAAGTAGTTAATATGATTGGCTTAATTATATATTTTTTATTTTTTAAAAGCTATTATTATTATTGTTATTATTATTATTATTATTATTATTATTATTATTATTATTATTATTATTATTATTACTAGTAATTCACCCGCGCGATGCACGGGAAAAAATTATGTTATTATAAATATAAATAAAAAATAGAAAAACTAAAATATTTTAAATTAATTAATATAGTAATATTTTTGAGCTTCCATTGGTCAAGTATTTATTATTTTTATAGAATACAAAATTACAATTAAAATTAAAATTAAAATTTTGTATGGTTAATATAATATCTAATTATGTGCATATTCAAATAAACTTATAGAGAGATTTTACATAATTACATTGATTTATTCTTAATTGTATTTCATCTATATTATAATTTTCACAATACGAATAATAACTAAGATAATTACATTTGGAAAGCAAATTTCTAATTTTGTATGTGTAAATTTAAACTCTAATTGAACACCTTTTTATATGATTATATAATATATAGCTATTTTATTTTTCAAAAGTATATTTTTTATATGATTATATAATATATAGCTATTTTATTTTTTAAATGTTGTGCTTTTTTTTTTTTTAATAATAAAGGATGTTGTGGCATTAATTGTAACATTAATTATTTTCCAAACCATATAGCTTTATTATATAAAGGATTATTATTATTATTATTATTATTATTATTATTATTATTATTATTATTATTATTATTATTATTATTATTATTATTATTATTATTATTATTATGAAATATATGTATATCCTTAGGTCATTTTACATGTTAATCTAAACAGCTAATTTTTTGAAATATCTTATTACCAACCATTGATATAATTCGTTGGTCAAATTCGTTAACGCTAATCGCTAACTGCTGATTGTCAAACAAGGACATTACGAGATAGTTCTCACTTCAATTTGTTGTGTGATTTGAATACTTTCTTTGTCAACAAATCTCTTAAGTAGTTAATATGATTGACTTTATTAATTATATTTTTTAAATTTTTTCATGGTATTAATAAAATACTTGGTAAATAAATATATAACATTATTTTGTATTATAACTTTGATATTTAATTAAAAAAGTAGTGCACAAAAAAGATAATAGACAATGTAGTGAATATAATCAATTGATAAATTTGAATGTAAAGGATTTTTACATTGGAGAAAATAAAGACAATATAACTAATAAAATTATTTCTCTTAATTAATTTATTGATAATGAATAATTTTTTTAATAAAGATATTGTAGGGACAATGTAGCGAATATAATCAATTGATGAATTTGAATGTAAAGAATTTTTATATTCGAGAAAAATAAAGACAATATAACTAATAAAATTATTTCTCTTATTTAATTTATTGATAATGAATAATTTTTTTTGAATAAAGACATTGTAGACACATAATTCTAAATTAAAGAAATGCATATATATTATTTTTTGTTGTATCTACTGAATTAAAGAAATGCATATATATTATTTTTTGTTGTACTAATTATGTCAACTTTGATGGGGATGAGGTTCGAACTTAAGACCTTTCTTATTGAAATCAATGAGTAAGTTAACGGTGAACTAACAGAAATTAACGGAAAAGATAATATTTAACGGAAAAGTTAACGGATAATCATATTCATTAAGGATAAATTAGGAAATCTTAAGGAAAAATTAAAATCTGATCAATCTGAGTCATACATTTGATTAAAAAATTTGACCGCCATTGTTTCTTCCCATATAGCCCTAACTTTCTTGGGCTCTTATTAGTATACTAGTTTTTTTACGCGCTTTGCGCGAATGGAATATGCCCAATTATTATTTTTAAATAAGTATATCAATGCAATATTATATCGGAGATGTTCATGCATAGGTAAATAAATTTTGTTTATTTAAATCGGTAATTTAAAGTATATAATTGCAAGATAATATATAAGAGATTGATTATATTGTCACTAAAATAAATGTTTGCAACTTTGTAATAACGCTAGTCTAAATACTTAGTCTAAAAATGATAGTCTAAATAAATACTACTTTTTTTTTATTGGTAGTGTGTCATGTGCAATTGGGTTACTGATGGTAGCATAGTTGGATTCGTCGTGTAATGAGATTATGGTGTAGGAAGCTTTAGATTTGCCTTGTTGTGTATATGATGGATCTTAGTTGTACTATTAACTCTTTTTCTTACAAGCACCTATTGATATTTGGTAGTGGTAATTTTTCCCCTACATGTTTCATGCGTTGTGAGATGTGTCGTAGATTATCATGTGAAAATATTGAACAAAATATTAATATTTATTATATTTGCATAAAATACTTAGTAAATAAATATATATAACATATTTTGTATTATAACTTTGATATTTAATTACAAGATAATGTAAAAAGAAAACAATATAGTGAATATAATAAATTAATAAATTTGAAGGTAATAATGAATATTTGAATTATAGAAAATAAAGATAATATAACTAATGAAATTATATATCTTTTTAAATTTTTTATAATGAATATATTTTTTTTAAAATAAAGACATTATAGACATCTAATTTTAAATTAATTAAATGCATATGTATTATTTTTTGTGGTATCTACTAATTTATTTAATTTAATAAGAGTAATAAATTGACGTACACACTTTTCATCAACAATAATGAAATCATTGATTTTTTTTTAATTTACATTCATTATTGAGACAAATTGTTTTGAGAGTTTGTCAATGACAATTGTTATAATTACTGTCAATAGAGGATGATAATAAATAATTCAAAATATATAGTTACAATAGATATTGTTATAATGATATAGTAAAAATTAACTTACAAATTTCTTTTGAAGTTTTCATGCATTGATAAAATTCTGATGTGTAAACTTGTTCAATTGGAGCCAGTGGGATGTCAACATTGTCAATTCTTTGGAAAATGGTCCTACCGTTTTAGAGTCCAGGTGTAATTGTATTTATGATCAACAACTTTGTAGTTAGGTCGCGCATGTCTGACAATGATGTAAGAACAATTTTGTCTGATAAAAAAATAATAGTATAATATTTGTAAAGTAATGTACAATTATGCCATTATAAAAATACATAAAAAAATATATTAAATACCATAATGACCTAAATCATATGTTACGTAGTGATATTTAGTACGCAACAGAAGAAACCTTTCGAGCAGGCTTCTGGCTCCTAACCGTATTCGAGTCACGACAAACTCCACTTTTACACTTCGAGCCTGTGAGGACTCCAAGAAGAATAACAATATACTCAACATGAACCACAGAGGCTAGACCACACAAGGCTGAACCCCAACCCTAAGGACCCCCACACCCCAACCTGACAGAGCATTTGGAAGGATGTAAATCATGGTAACTCAACATGAACCACAGAGGCTAGACCTGTGCTCATTGCGCACAAGGAACCCCCCTCACTTTGAGAGGTTGCTCCCACACTGCCGCTAGTGAGACTCAATCCCTGGTAATTCTTCCAAAGTTTCACCTCTGTGACCAGTTGAGCTGCCCATGCAGGTATATCTTCTAATTACATATATTCATTCCTTGTAGACCCTCCACTAATTAAACCACCAATTATTTCTTTCCTTTGATGCGTATCATGATACCAATAATATAAAAATATAATTGAAATATTAAATTTTGTTCTGATCTAAATAATCAATAGAAGATTAATTAAACGAAAAAAAAAAATTAACCTAAATTTGTTTTTTTTTTTAAATGCATAAAAATCAAATGATTTTTAAAGTTCTTGATTTATAATCTTTAATTCTTAACTTTGAATGTTCTGTATTTAGTCGGACTAATTATTTGACCAAAGTTTATGTTAAATTTTATATTATATATTTTTAAATACATTTTAACATATCTTTATACCAATATAGCCAGGAGATTTTGGCTCTCATTCTCCCGCCCAACAACTAAGGATTTTCCATATCTTTTAACCTTTTTATTTTTTTTATAGCTATTTTAGATAGTATGAGTGTTTTTGTTGGTTTTGGAATCCTATTTTAGAGGATAATAATTCATTTGATTGGTTTTAGGGATGGAATTCGTTTCCCGATTAATGTCTTAGAGGAAACGTGTTATTCTAACTATTTTTTACCTACTTTTTTATAGCTATTTTAGTGGGCATGAGTGTTTTTGTTGGTTTGGGAATCCTATTTTATAGGATAATAATTCAAAAGATTGGTTTTGGGGAAGAGTTTCTTTTCCCGATTCCTGTCCTAGAGGAAACGTATTATATTTGAATTAGAAATCTAGGTTTTATCTACTAAGCTAATCCTCTAATCTTCTAATTTTTCTCTTTCTATAAGTATTCTGCTGCTGCGACTCTGCATTATCTCCCTCAGCCGGCTACCAGGTCTTGGAACTATCAGCTCTTCTTCTTTTTTCACTCAGCTGTGATGATTACTTACACAGCATCAGTGATGGCTTTCAGTATAAATACACCTGTTTATACAAGCAATTGCACATTGCAAACTTTCAATATTAGTCTATTCGAATCACAAGCTCTTCTTCTTTGATGGCTGGTCAGTTTGTTCTTGCTTCTCAGCTCACTCCATTGTGCAATAGGAAGGCCATTCGAGTTAGGCTAGTGCGAACATATGTTGTTTACGAAAACAGAGAAAACAAGGCGATTAGCAGTCTGGAATGTGTTTTCCATGATGTAGAGGTGTAGTATTTTCGATTTTATTAACTTAAAATTTCTTTTTATTTGCTTATGATCACTATTTTCCAGTTTAATACCTTTGAATGTGTTCATTTAGGGTGTGTTTGTTCACTGTACTATACCTAAGGATCAAGTCCAAAAATGGACCAAATTCATGGAAGGTTGTGTTTATGGGATAAAGAACTTCCTTTGCATTACTAACTACTTGAAGTTCAAGACAAGTAATCATCGTTTCATGCTTAAATTTAAGCATGATACTATGGTTAAGGAGTACAAGAAAGTCAGTTTTCCTCACAAGACTTTTCGTTTAAAATCGATATCTTCCTTGGTTAGGAAGGATGATATTGATGAGAAGATGCTCATAGGTATATTCTTATCTTTAAATACAGGTTTTTCTACTTTTAAAACTATCCTTACTTAATACCTAACTGTTTGTATTTGTTTTTCTAGATGTTATTGGAAGGGTCACTGAAATCCATTCTCCAGTGGAGAGGGTTGTAGCAGGACAGAGAGCTAGGCTTATTGATTTTGTTTTGGAAGATATCAAGTGAGTGTACATGTTTATATTACATTTCTGTGAGCCTAAAAATTTTTATATGACTATTCTTTTTTAAATAGAAATTTCTTTTATTTCTTTTAGTCAAGATCAGATTCAATGTACTCTTTGGGGGGATCATGTGAACAGTTTGCTGCCTATTTATAGCTCAACAGTCACTGAAGAACCAGTGATTGTTTTGCTACAGTTCTGTAGGGCAAAGATCTTTGATAGTATGTGTTCTCTTATCCTTCTACTCCATTGCTCAAGTTTTATTAATTTATTCTTTTATCTTTTATTGGCATTATCCTGAAATTGCATATTCTTAATTTCTAGATGGAGATGTGCGCATATCAACTTCATTTAATGCAACAAAAATTTGGATCAATCAGAAAATGCCAGATTTTGAGGAGTTTAAGAAAAGTTTAAGGTATAAATCATACATTCTGTTTCTATATTAAAATTCATCAGATTTTAATTGAATCTATTTACTTTTATTGTTTCTATTCCAGTCTGTCATCTAACAGAACTCCATTAAGAAAGTTGGACTCAAGCTCTAGGCTACCTGGATTTAGACCAAATCGTAACAGTCTAAGTGATGATATTGTAGTAACTTCTCTAAGTGAGATTTACAACAGGAAAGAGGTAATAAATTATTTTTTCTCTTTTATATATATATATATATATATATATATATATATATATATATAAAACCAGATTGCTAGCTAACTTCTTTTTTTGGTATTACACAGCTATGTGAGTATTGGGTGGCTGTTAGGATTATGGATGTTGACAGTTCAGATGGTTGGTATTACATGTCTTGTAAGGGAACTAACTGTGGGAAAAAGCTAACTCCAAGAGAAGGTTTGATGTACTGCTCTAAGTGTCACCGTAGCTGGCATGATGGGGCTGTCAAGTATAAGGTGGTTGTTCGTGTAACCGACAGTACATGTGAAGCACCTATGCTCATTTGGGATAAGGAATGTTATGATTTGGTTGGTGTTTCAGCTTCATCCCTAAGAGAGAAGTATGCTGAGGTGAGAATGGTTTTTGTATTCTAATTTGGGATTGTTAATGCTAGAGATGTTCCTATGTTTATTTCCTTAAAAAAAAATTTTCCCAGAATGCAAAAGGTTGGATCCCACCTGAGTTGCAGTCTATTTGTGGGATGCCTATACTATTTAGGATTTCTATGAAGAAAGATCAAGTGGACAGTCTCAGCTCTGCATTTGGTGTGTTAGGGTTCTGTAGACAAGCTGACATTGTTTCAAAACACTGTGGGGTTATAGACTGTGATTTGGATGCAACAGAACAAGCTAATGAGGTTTAATTATTTTCCTATTTAAACCTTTTTCTCTCTTTATAAAATTGAATAACACTTTTTGTATTATTCAATTTTTTTCAGGATACATTTGGTCTGGATGACTTTGGTGATTTTGAAATGGTTGGATTTGATGAAGGTGGTTCTTCTGGAAATGTTGCAAGCACACTTAAGTGGTCTCTAATTGATGAGTTCAATCAGTTTGATGACTCAAAGAGACTTAAGACTTCGGTTATTAAGTTGGAAAAAATGTGATGGAATTGCGGTTTCTATTATATTGAGCACACTGAAGAGGTCTCTAATGGATGAAGTCCACCTGCCTTTCTACTATAATAGACCTACTATTTAAGTCTATAAGTTGGTTAAAATGTAATGCTTTTGTGGTTTCTAGGCTATGTTTTGTAATGTTTCCCTAATTCGGTCAGTCTATGTACTACTTTCCAATTCTGTCTTATGTTTTTGGACTCTAATGACAATATGAATATTATGTCTACTTATTTTGGTTTGTATTTTTTTCCTCAAGTTTATTTCACTTATATTTCCAGTTTAAATAGTACTAGCTAATTAGCTGGTTTTAGTTGTACATAACTTTTCATTTAATTATGCTTTATGAATTATATCTTCATTTGATAACTCTATCTGGAATTAGATAATTAAATACATATTAATGAAGTTATAACATCATAAGTAAATGTAAAATCTTTTCTATTATTTGAAAATAAACTTACTTATTCAGCCTTGCTTGATATTTGATGCCAACTCTTTTGTTATACTCAGATCCAGATCCAGATCCAAGTCTCTTTGTATCTGAAAACAACTGCAAATATAATCTATCAATATCTGGCTACTTATTTAAAAAAGGTTGTCTATGTGTGTTCTAAAATACAACTTATGAAGTAAAAATAGAAGTATTAATAAGTTAAGTTGGCATGATCAAATAAAATTACAATACAGTACTGAATTTACCCAATTAGTAAATAGATTTCAGTCACAAAATGGCAAAAGGTTACAGATCTAAGCTGGAGTGATGACATGTAGTATTTCAGCTTTTTCAAAAGGTTCTAGATTAGTTTTTTAGTACACTAATGACCATTAGTTACAAATCTAAGCTGGAGTCATGATTTCCTAACTTAGTGTTTTATCAATAGTATCTGTGGAACATTTAATCCAATTTATTTAACTAAAGTTAGTACATGTGTTATACATTCAAAGTCAATAGTTTATCTAAAAACAGTTTTTAGCTATAAGTATACAGAAAAAATAAAATAAAATTGGTGTGAAAGAATAGTATTAGTTCAGAATCATAGTATGCAAGGATTTAATTACGGATTTACAATTGAAGCCTAATAGCTTGACAACAATTATTATACAAAATCATGGAAATTTGCATTTGATTAAGGCACTTTTATTTGTTGAAATCAAAGTGCCTATACCTAATGCAAATTTAAATACTTGCATTATTTAAGATATTATGACAGTATTTAGGTAGGGATTTATAGTTGAGACCAAATAGTTTGACAACAGTTTATATATCATTTTTAGGCTCATTTGCCTAATAGAAAAAAATAAAAATTTGATCACTGTCAAATTCCAAATCAAAATGAAATTCAAATCTAACAAACTTTGTATATGTACTAAAAATCAATGAGTTTATAAATGAACAAATGTATAATGTATGGCATATGTCAAGAGTTTGATAATGAATTTGTAAACTCATTTAAAAATGTGATATTACTCAATCTGTAACCTCAATTAAAAATGATAAATGAAAGGAAATCATGTATAAAGATCAATTCAAAATTTGATCTTAAAAACTGATAACCAATTAAACAATATTGGGAAAATAAAATCAATACACTGTTACATTCCCAATAAAAAAGAAATTCAAATCTAACAAAAGGCTATAAAATAGTAATCATTTACAAGTATTCATGAGAGTTGTGCTAGGGTAATCAAATGCTATTGCCACTATAAATAAAGATCCAACACTTGGAAGATCAATTCAAACTGCAGGTTCTCTGTAACTGTATATGCAAAGCATAAGCTTAAACAAACATGAGAAAGTTAGAAAAATCTACTACGATTGGTTGCAAGAGAAAGTATGGAATTTCAAACAAAGGTATGAAAACATTTTATATTACACTACAGTTTATAAATACAAGTTTCATATATATACTTAAAATCACATCAATTAATGCCTAAACAAGTAAATGAATTAATAAATATATAGCTAAAGAAAAAAAAATTGTACAAGAACTGTAATATTTGCAAATTATACTTATCTTTGATGATGTGTAGTTTTCCTTCTGTTTTGAAGAGTACTGCTAACTTGGTTTTCTTCACCCGCATTATTTTCTCCTTCTCAGGTTTAGTTTTGTTTATCTACAATAAATTAGGTAGGGTTCATATCATTAATATATAAGAAACGAATCAACACTTAGTCAAAGATTTTTGTACAAATAATTTATATAACAGAAAAAAAAAAAAAAATATATATATATATATATATATATATATATATATATATATATATATATATATATATATATATGAGAAGTATAAAAAATTAAAGCAAACTTATCTTTTTCGTATATATTTTCTGCATATAATTTGATGGTATTTTTTAGGCTTCTTTGTTGTTGATTAATGTTTGCTCCTTTCTGGGCATAGCTACGTACATCTGCATACATAGAAATTAGGGTTTCAGTAGTATATAAATAAATCAAACTAATTTAGGGAAAATCGAAATTAAAACTTACTGCATGTGGGGAAATTGTTTCCTTAAACTGCCGATCGAGTTTAAGCTTCAAAAGTAGACAATTTGCTTCCAGTTCTTCCGATTTCTGGGTTTCGATTTTTGGAGTATTTCATCTAGGACTAGGGTTTTCTTGGTTTAGATGATGAAGCTTGAAGGATTGAAGAGAATAGAGGTAGTTGGCTTATATTTCGTAGATCGTTTATCGTTGGTGGGATGAAGATATAGGTACTGTTGTCGCGAAGGAGAGGGTGAATCGCGACATTTTTGGTGAATGGCGAAGGAGGAGACAGAGCGAGGGAGAGGGAGTAGGAGCGATGGAATTCTGGGGTTATTGTTTGGGTTGGGTAATAACGGGTTAGATATGTAGGTTTGGGTAGGTTTTGGGTTGGGTAATTTAGTTGGGTTTCGGCCCAACTTTTATTATTATTATTATTATTATTATTATTATTATTATTATTAATGTTATTATTATTATTGTTGTTGTTATTGGTATTATTATTATTATTATTATTCGTATTAATATTATTATTATTATTATTATTATTAGTATTATTATTATTAATATTATTATTAGTATTTTTATTATTATTATTATTATTATTATTATTATTATTATTATTATTCCTTAATAATAATGATGCGTGGAACATTACTTTCCTGTTTGATAATTTGCAGTGGGATGTGCCACCTAATCATAATTTGTGAAAATGATGGGCCACCTAATGAAGTGGGATGTAGAAGGCAAGAACTGGATATGGACAAACATGAAATCTTATGATTTAGCCTTCATGAAAAGGTTGTTTGAACATACTAAGAATTTTTAAGAAATAATTTCAGTCATGAAAAAAACACACAAAAAGATGAAATTAAAGCATTAGCATAGGGTGTTAGTTGGTGGATTAAATTGATAACATAATTGATTCAGTGTTGTGTTATGCACATTTGAAGCTATTCAGTCATGATTTTTTGTTATTCTTATGTTATAATGTGTGAATTCTTTTTTTTTTTTTTATTTCTTAATGATTTTTTTTTTTTGAGTTGCCTTCAATATATTTGTATTTATAAATTGTTATCTCGATATTTGCATTGACTTTGTAATAATAATATATTTTAAATCATTTTTACACTTTTTCTCTTAGCTTTTTTCCAATTACATATTACGTTAAATAATGTTACAAGTAATGATTTTGTCTATTTCATATAATGAATATGAAAATATTTTTAAATTTTTCATTATTGGAATCAATTTGTAATTACGTTAAATAATGTTACAAGTAATGATTTTGTCTATTTCATATAATGAATATGAAAATATTTTTAAATTTTTCATTATTGGAATCAATAAATTGTTGACAATTTCATCGTGGATTTTTCTTAGAAAATGTGGATAGTGTAACTCCTGAGCATATCAGAACGCGAAGGATCCATCGGTTTGGGCTTCATGCACAGAAATCATGCTTTGTGGGGGTTTTTGAAAATTCTCTTTATACGCCCTTGAGTGTATTAACAAATTGTAAGTTACACAGTAATTTGTCACATTTTAAATTAAATCTTGTGTTTTTAAATTTTTTAAAATGTATTTTCTTTAATGTAGGCAATCAAATCAATACTACAATATCTTCTAATGTTGAATGCTTGGATACGCATATTGGTAGTACTAGCACTGAAGCGGGTAAATTTTTTTGTTTTTAAATGTTATAATAAATGTTAGGTAAATTTATATTTTGACTTTATTTGTTTGTTGTGTAATCATACAGTCGACATTGTTGATAATTCTAAAATCATATTGAATATTGCTTGTGGTTCAAGGCAAAGGAAAACAAATGTAACTGGTGCAGGTATTTTTTGCATTTTTTTCCTATTTTTTCATTATAATATATTGCTTTATTTTATTCTTATATTAGTATATTGAATTAAAATTAGGACAATTAATTGTAAGTAGACAACCTATCCAAAATTAGCGAAAATCTATTGTATGACCATTAATTGGATATAAATTGTTAAATTATTGTATACCTTTGTTAGCTTAAAGTTTTCAAAAAGTTCATTTATCTATATATGTACATTTTTTTGTGAACATTTTTTTTTTTTTTGTAGGTGTGTATTTAGATAATGGGGATCCGACTTTTAAGTGTCAACATTGTGATGCATTGTTTTGGTATGATGAGAGATTAAAGAGTGTAAAGGTGAATAGTTTGCCTAAATATTCTATATGTTGTGGTAACGGAAAAATTAAGTTGGCACCTATCCTTCCTCCGCCTAAGTTGATATCTGATTTGTTTTTTAGTGGCGATCGTAGAAGTAAAAATTTCTTGCAGAATATACGATCTTACAATAATATGTTTAGTTTTACATCAATGGGTGGTCGAATTGATAAACAAGTAAATTCTGGATCATCTCCACCAATCTTTCGCTTGAACGGTCAGAATTTCCATTTGATGGGGAGTTTATTACCCACTGAAGGCAATTCAGCTAAATTCGCACAGTTATATATTCATGACTCTGCAAATGAAGTTATGGATAGAATTAGTGCTGTCAGGTATGTATACTAATTGTTTTCTATATTTTTATAATATTTTTTTTTTCAATTTCTTAAATTCAATTTACTTTGCAAATTTTATAATTTTGAAGGAATGAAAGTGATGTACAAGACTTACACCCTCAAATTGTTGCTGATATTCAAGCTGTTTTAGATGAGTGCAATGTTTTGGTTAAGTCATTTCGAATGGCGAAAGAAGCAATCCAATCAAATCCAATAGTAGAAGTTAAAATGAAGTTGATTGGGAAGCGTAACACAGATGCCCGTACATATAATTTGCCCACAGTTTCTGAAGTTGCTGCACTCATTGTTGGGGACTTGGATGCGCATCTCGGTGAGCGAGATATATTGGTGGAAACAAAGTCTGGATTGTTGAAGAGGATTAGTGAGCTCAATCCAGCTTATCTTCCATTACAGTATCCACTGTTATTTCCATATGGTGAAGATGGTTACAGGGAGGATATTGGCTTCAACATTGTTCGAGTAGTTGAAAATGGATCTAGACAGCGTATTTCACCTCGCGAGTATCTTGCTTTCCGTATTCATGAGCGTTCATCAGAAGTTTCAACAATTTTATATGCTCGGAGATTATTTCAACAATTTTTGGTTGATGGTTACACGATGGTTGAAGCTGGTCGATTGTTGTATATTCGCACCAATCAGAAATCTTTAAGGTGTGGAGCTTATCAGGGATTGTCTGATGCATTAACACGAGGTGATATTGAGCCCGGTCGTCATGGTAAACGAGTTATTCTTCCGTCTAGCTTTACTGGAGGTGCTAGGTATATGATCCAGAACTATCAAGATGCTTTGGCGATTTGTGGATGGATTGGTTATCCGAATTTATTTATTACATTTACATGTAATCCAAAGTGGCCTGAAATAGAGAGGTATTTGGGAGAGCGACATTTGAGTGCTGTTGATCGGCCTGATATCATATGTCGGTTATTTAAAATGAAATTGGATGCGTTGATCAAGGAGATCCGTTCTGGATTAGTTTTTGGTAATGTAACTGCAGGTACGTATTTTTCTTTTTCTACATGTACATCAGAATCATTCTTATCTTATTTTTAATTTCTGTTTTAATACTTATTTATGTAGTGATTTATACTGTTGAGTTCCAAAAAAGAGGACTTCCGCATGCCCATATATTGGTATTTCTGAGCCAAGAAGATGGTCGAGCTTTATGTCAAAATATTGATACTATAATTTCAGCTGAAATTCCAGACCAGGAAGTAGATAGTGAGTATTATAGGGTTGTTGAGGAGTTTATGATTCATGGTCCTTGTGGTCATCTTAAAAAGAATTCTCCGTGTATGGTTAATGGTCGTTGTTCTAAACATTTTCCAAAGAAGTTTGTAGACTTTTCAAATTTTGATCAAGATGGTTATCCAATTTATAGACGAAGAGAAGATGGAAGGTTTGTTAAGAAAAATGGGATTGAGCTGGATAACAGATTTGTTGTACCACATAACAAATATTTGTTGCTTAAATATAGAGCACATATCAATATTGAGTGGTGTAACCAGTCCCGTTCTATCAAGTACTTATTTAAGTATGTCAACAAGGGGCATGATCGAGTTACAGCTCATTTCTACAAAAGTTCTGATGGTTTAGAGAAAGGACAAATTGTAGATGAGATATCTATGTTCTATGATTGTCGTTACATATCTGCTTGCGAAGGAACATGGCGTTTATTTGGATTTGACATTCAATTCAGAGTTCCTGCAGTTGAGAGATTAAGTTTCCATTTGCCCAATCAACAATTAGTTGTTTATGGTGATGATGGTTGTGTTGATAATATTTTGAGTCGCCCGAGTGTTGGAGAAAGTATGTTTTTAGCTTGGTTTGAAGCTAATAAAAAGTTTCCTAAAGCTAAAGAGTTAACTTACGGTCAGATGCCCAACAAATTTGTTTGGAAAAAGGATGTTAGAGAGTGGCATCTTAGACGTAAGGGGTTTGCCATTGGACGTATGTTTTTTGTCCCTCCAGGTTCTGGTGAAATTTATTATCTAAGGTGTTTGTTGAACTTGGTTCGTGGTGCAACATGTTATGAAGATCTTCGTATTGTTGAGGGGGTGCAGTATAGTTCGTTTCGAGATGCATGTTTTGCTCGTGGTTTATTAGCAGATGACAAGGAATATGTTGATGCGATTAATGAAGCAAGTAAATGGGCATCTGCAACTTCTATGAGGAGACTATTTGTTACTATGCTTACTTCAAACGTTCTTATTCGACCAGAAGTTGTTTGGGATGCAGTATGGATATTCTTAGCTGAAGATGCGGAGTTCAACCAACGGAAAATACTAGATAAACCAGGTTTTTTTTTTTCTTTTTTAAGATCCAAAATACATACATTTTATTTACATGATTGTTCTATATTGGATCATCTGATATAAGTAACATTTAAATCTTATTTCCTTTTTTAGGTTTAACCCTCACAGACGAAGAAAAGGCAAACTATGCTTTGGTGGAAATTGAAAAGCTTTTACGTGTATTTGGAAAAAGTATTTCTTGCTTTCCCTCTATGCCTCTGCCAAATATGAGTTCCTCATCTTCTCATGGAAATCAGTTGTTAGATGAAGAATTGTCATATGATTGTGATGCTCTTAAAGTTGAACATGATAATTTGGTAGAGAAATTGACAGATGAACAAAGGCATGTTTATGACGTAGTTCTTACTGATGTTGCGAATGCTGGGGGTGGTTTATTTTTTGTTTATGGGTACGGAGGAACTGGTAAAACATTTGTTTGGAAAACACTATCAGCTGCTTTGCGTTCTGAGGGTCACATCGTCTTAACTGTTGCCTCGAGTGGTATTGCTTCTCTACTTTTGCCAGATGGTCGAACTGCTCATTCCCGATTTGCTATACCTATTAATATAACTGAAGATTCTACATGTAACATCTCTCAAGGGAGTGACTTGGCTCATCTAATAATAAACTCCAAACTAATTATTTGGGATGAAGCTCCGATGATGCATAAACACTGCTTTGAGGCTTTAGACCGAACCATGAGAGATTTATTACGGTTTGTGAATCCTTTGAGCACAGAGATGACATTTGGAGGAAAAACGGTGGTTCTTGGTGGTGATTTTCGACAAATACTGCATGTGATTCCTAAGGGAACAAGACAAGATATTGTTGGAGCAAGCATCAATTCGTCATATCTCTGGCAAAATTGTAAGGTTCTAAGATTGACTAAGAATTTGCGACTTCAAAGATTGGGCAATGATGACAGTGCTGAGCATATCAATTCATTTTCGGAGTGGATAGCTGGTATAGGTGATGGTTTGATTGGTGGTCCAAATGATGGGTGTGCAGTAATAAATATTCCGGAACAAAATGTATTGCGGCCACGTGGAGATTCGATATCAGCTATAGTAAATAGTACATTCCCGGAATTTTGCTCAGGTAATTTTGATATGGAATCTCTTAATGGTCGAGCTATTTTGGCTCCAACTTTGGATTTAGTGCATGAAATCAATGATTACATGAGTGGCTTGAATACGACAGCTATTAGAACTTATTTCAGTTCTGATTCTGTTTGTCAATCAGATTCTGGTGTCGATACTTTAGCTGGTTTACATACTACAGAGTTTCTTAACACGTTGAAATGTTCGGGTATTCCAAATCATTGTCTTATGTTGCAAGTTGGATCTCCAGTTATGTTGTTGCGCAATATTGACTACACTCTTGGCTTGTGCAATGGTATGCGATTAGTCATTACTAGATTGGGAGATCATGTTGTTGAAGCGAAAGTGATGTCAGGAAGTAGTATGGGTACACGAGTTTTAATTCCAAGATGGTCATTGACACCGTTTGATCCTAGATTGCCATTTAAGTTCCAAAGGAGGCAATTTCCTTTAATGTTGTCATATGCAATGACAATAAATAAGAGTCAAGGACAAAGTCTTACAAATGTTGGCTTACTTCTGAAAAAAATGATTTTTGTGCATGGACAATTGTATGTGGCTTTGTCTAGAGTTGACAATCCAAATGGTCTTAAAGTGGTTGTTTTGAGTGAGAATGGGGAGTATTCTTCTTCAACTGTAAATGTTGTATATCACGAAGTTTTTAAAAATTTGTAATTTAGTATATATAATTATTCTAATGTTTTTGATTTTTTTTTTCTACTATTGTTTCTAATCTTTTTGTCATGCATATTACAGATTTTTATAATGCATATTTGTATGTATATTTAATTTCAAATGTTATTTATAATTTAGTTTAATTTTTATCCCGTGCATCGCACGGGTGCAATACTAGTTCGTAGTAAATGTTTAACAATTGTTCCAACTCTAATTGGGTTGTGGTTCGAACATAAAACCTTTCTTATAGAAATTAATGAGTAAGTTAAAAAATAATAAATAGTTAACGAAATATTCCGTTACTAAAGTTTATACTAACGGAATTTAGGTTATTTAAGGGAAGAAAATAATATAATAGAGAGTAAATAAAAAAAAATATTAAAATAATACTAAAATCAAAATAATATGAACCATCATTTTATGAAACAATACTACCGTCATTTTTTTTGTTCCAGTTAAAGGCCTAACATTATTGGCTCTTATTATAATTGTAGATAGATGTAGATATAGTAGATATAATAGTAGAAGATATTGTAATTAATAGTAATCAGTAATCCATAAATATTAATCTATTAATCTATTGGGGAAAACATCATTTAATATTAGTCCACACGAGGCGGAATTTTCTCACCCCGGGCCTCCACACTCAATTAACAAATTATTATGCAAATGAAGATGGCTAGGACAAACAGGTGAATCCAGAATTAAAGACAAGAAGTGAAAGGTAATAAAGTATCTCTTCATAGGATCCTATGCCTTCTCTATATTTAGATTAGAGTCTTTTTTTCTCATGAATAACACATGCTTACAATTCTTTAATGCAAGCTATATCTCTTTTGTTAAAATTGCAATACATACATGTACTCTCTCATTTTATCCTCATCAATTTGACAAACATATTCACATGCGTTTCTATCTCTAATATCATTACAAAAGATTGACCCACAAGCAGAAGAACTTAGCTGAACTAAGAGGCAGAATAATATTTCATACTATTTTATGGTGAATAAGTCAGCAAACTGTCATTATCCCAAATGAGGGATCACAGGTTCGAACTCCAGTAGGGGGGACTCTTTGTGATTCAATAGATTGAGAAAATATCAGTGATGTAAAACTCGGCCGCCTAGCCGCCTAGGCGCTAGGCGGCCACTTACCTTGGAGTTTTGGCCTATAGGCGGCCAAAACTCGGTCGGCCGCCTAGGCGGCCGCCTAGGCGGCCTGGGCGGCCGCTAGGCGGCCTGGGCGGCCGCTAGGCGGCCTAGGCGGTCAAACTCGGCCGAGTCGGTCAACTCGGCCAACTCGGCCGAGTCGACCGATTTCGTCCGATTTTGACCGTTTTTGACCAATTTTGACCAATTTTGTCTGATTTTGACTGATTTTGACCGATGTCGTCTTTCATTAATTATTGATTTTAATATTATTATGACATTATGACTTATAAATTATCATTATTTCATTTATTTAGATGTGTTATTTGAGTGAACGTTGAAAACAACCTCATTATAATTGTCGAACTACAAGTCTGTCACTATTTTTTTTAATTTTTTTGGTGCCCGCCTAGCCCCGCCTAGAATCCGCCTAGGCGCCGCCTAGACCGCCTAGGCGCTAGGCGCTGCCCGGCCGCCCGACTAGCGCCTAGCGCCTACTGCAACCTTGGAAAATATATATGAACAGATACTATATTGTAACAGAATTGGTAGTATTCAAAAAAAATGGTGAATAAGTCAGCACTTAGCAGAAGTTTACAATGTGTTCACCATAATTTTTGAGTCATAAAATTTACCATACAAAAGGTCGTCCCCTTAATGGCATATCATCTGCAATTGATTACAAATGTTACTAGTACACATCAAGCATAAAACATGAGGATATAAAGGATTATTCATAAACATTTGTGCAGCAAGATACAAAGTCATGTTTGTGTACCAACAAGCAGCAGATGCAAGTGCTCAGTATCGATACTTTGTCGAGTAATCTTTTGGAGCAATGACAAGACCGCGACCCTTTCTAGCACCACGATAAACAGTCTCCACGATGTCAATGAACTCTTGTTTGTCCTTCAGTGCCCAGTTGATCTTGTTATTGTTCCCAGTGCCAAGATCGATCATGATGTGTTTGTTCCTAAAGAAGAACATCACAGTCGACGGATCATACAATTCGTACATCGTGTTGAAGTCAGGAACCTCAGTGATATCTACAAGGTATATGACAGCAAAGTTTTTTAATGTCTCAGCTACTGAAGCCAAGACTTCATCCATCTGGAAACCAAAAACCAATTAGTAACCCGGCCTGAAGCCACTTCAAAATAAGAAAAGAATGGAATATAATTATAAAAAAAAAATTTAAAAAAAAATAATAATAATAATAATAATAATATAGGAGAACATAAGTGAATGCGCAGTCAATGGCACATTCAATAAAAATTAAAACATGAATACTACCACACCCTTTGAAAGAGCAGGAAAGAGGGCATAGGACTATAGGAGGCAATAAGTACCACCAAATATCCAACTGCTATGGTATAAACGGTGAAACGTAGGGATTTCTTTTCTTGCTTGATATGATAAGTATTATAATGCAACTACAGTGATTCATCCTATGAAGACATCAACGATTACAATCCTTAATGTAACAATGACTGCAAACAATAACCAAATATAATACCCCTAAAGCATCCCAAACATAATTGCTCCCAGTGGGACGTGAGACTCAAAATGTGGTCTCTCTATTTCTCGTTAGGCAATGAAGTCATTGGCAAGGTCAAGTAGGAATTTAGAATCCATGATTTGACACCAGGTATTAATAGATGTCATAGAGGGCGGATGGACAATAAGACCAATTAGAAGGAAACACAGATAAATTGGGAAAAAAGGAAATCAAAGACACTATATACTGAATATTTTACAAAGACAATGGTTACGCATCTGCTAATGCAATAAAGTTCTATAATTAACACCTATTGTACATCACACCAATTATGAATTTAGTGAACTTTACTTTTCTATAGTTTCACTATTAAGGAGACAAATGTGTATATTTAAATTGTGCGTGTCAGTGTGTTACACGCTCATTCACTCCAATAAGCACAGTTTCTATGGGATACAACCACTAATATGTTAATATGCACTGCATAGGAAATCATCAATGCACCATACTGTAACACCACAAGCAAGCTTGAACCCATGACAAATCATTGATGATTACTCACTTCCTGGAAACTATATACATATGAGCCAGAAATATTATTGATGGGGGGCGAAAGCACTTCGAAATGCGATAAAAACACATTATAAATCACATATCATCTCTATTGATATGATATTCATAAATACTTCTTCTTTAGTTAAATCAACTTCAAGTTTTTCTAGATTAATTTGAATACAATGACATATGATATAAACTTTTTAACTGCACTAACTAAATGATTAATAATAAAAAGTAGACTTTTTAAGAAAATATTTGTCATGACTGAATCACAAAATATATTCTATACCAATTAATTAATCAATTTAAATAATTATTATCACACATAACATTATAAATCTCACAAATTAATAGACATTATAAATACTAAATAGTAGTAAATTACTCAATTAGAAATAAATTTCAAAATTTAACAAGTCAGTCTAAATTTTTAACATCTAAAAAATCAATATAAAAAGGACAAAAAATCACAAAGTTACTAGTCACAAATCAAAAATACAATTATAAATATAAAATTAGAAATAAATCTCACAAATCACAATTTTAATACTAATGAAAAAATAGAAGTGCACATTATAGAATATATTCCCCCTCCTCCCACTTGTAAAGAGGGAAAGATAAGATAAAATGAAGGAAGGCACTGTCAACATGATTTGACCCCTAAAATTTAAGAGAACAATTTCTTAAAAATGACCAACTAAGCCCTCTAACCATTAAATAACTTGTATATACATTACTTATTTATATAAAAGGCACTAATATGTATATATATATATATATATATATATATATATATATATATATATATATATATATATATATATATATATATATATATATATATATATGTATGTATATATATGTATGTATATAATATATATATATATATATATATATACAAGGGGGGTCGGGATGGGGCAGGGGGGCAACTGCCCCCATTGCCCCCACTTTGGATCTGCCCTTGCGAGTGTGTATATATATAGTCATGACTTATGAGGCCCATGAGTAGCATTGTCCTCAAACATAGCATTAGGTAGAGGAAAAACCAAAAAACCATAATTCAGATCCTGGTAATCCATTGCTTATGTAGCCTTGAAACCTTGGTTCAATGTATTATCAAGAAAGACTGATAGTGATGGACTCATATTCAAGTTAAGTTAGGGGAATTACAATTTATTTTACACTCTAGGTTCATGGAATAGTTGTTTCACTTTTTTCTATAGCTTGGTTATTGAAGAAATTTGTCACAACAGTTCATGAATTACTACTCCATATCTTTATTTATTTTTTTTGGAAAAGTATACAAATCACTGTCTTATTACCATTATATGAAACTAGAAAGTGCAAATTATAGCATCAATATTAAGACTTCTCAAAATAATTAGCAAAAGATACTTAACAAACTACAAATCAAATGATATATGAGTCAGGTTCATTAAAATGCAGCTTTCCAGATAGGATAAATAACTATGTACACTAAGACACATACAAACTAGAAATTTTGAAAACGGCTATCTTGAACAAACCAAAACGTTACTAGTGGGACATCCTAAATCACCAAATCACACAGAAATTACTAAGGGACTATTAAATTGAACAACCCTTTACAAGAATAGACTACTACACAAACACATTTGAACCAATTCACAAATTACAAATATAAACATTAGGAAATCCCATAACACTGAACTCCCCACTATACTGTTCCCAGCATCGAAAAACACATTTCAACCAGCAGAAGTTACAATACATCATACTATCGAAGAACAAATAATTCACAAACATTGAAATTAGAACTTCAAGCACTGTCGTCGACCCACATAATACAAATCAAATGAAATTGGCGAAAAAGCTATAAAATTAAGCCTAAACCCAAAATATGTTTTCCCCCATAATCAGAAGGGAAATCAAGAAATTGGAATCAAAATCGAAAAGCTAAAGAAGATACCTGCATGCAAGTCTCGTCCCAGTCGTGGCCGAAGCGGATAATGACTAGGCGCTCCTCCTCGGCAAGGATGGCTTGGTCAACGGCCCAACCGGAGTGGAGATGGGGCAGTAAGTAAGACATCCTTTATCCTCTTTCCTCTGAAATCAGATGAAGCCGGTGGAGCAGATGGTAGCGTGTTAGGGTTTGTAGGTCACCAAGACAACAGAAAGAGGAGAAGAACGATCAGGAAATCAATAGAAATTACTCAAGTACATTGGCCATGTTTTGTAACATAAATGATTCAATTTTGAATTATTTGATTTCGTTTATATATATATATATATATATATATATATATATATATATATATATACTAGTTTTTTACGCGCATTGCGCGATTGGGATAATGCCCAATGTTTTTTTTTTTTTTAAAGTATATTAAGGCAAGATTATATTGAAATTGTTCATGCATAGATAATTGAAGGTTGAATTTGCGTATTTAAATAGGTAATTCTTCTCCCAAAGGTTGAGTCCCCTACCCGACAGAGCATTGTAGGAAGTTGTAAATCACGATGACTTAATGGTTCAGCAGACAGGATCAAATGCCGGTGCGAACAAGGAATCTGCCCACTTTGGACATAATTCTCGCACTGCCGCCGTCGAGGTTCAAACCTTGGTCTCTTCTCCCAAATACTGCCCACTAAACCATTGAGCTAAGCCCGTGCGGGTTAAATAGGTAATTCTAAGTTTACAAATGCAAGATAATATAGTCAAGATTGATTATAATTGTCAATAAAATAATTGTATAGGTATGGTTGAAACCAAATACTGGACATAAGGGAGAACAAATAAAAATTAGGGCATAAAATATTAAATATATACTAATATTGTTTGAGGAGATTTCGACATTAGGATTTGTGGTTAAGTTCTATTAAGACTTTAATATTAGAATTAGATTAATGGTGTAATTATTAATTCTATATTAGACGTTAATATTATAATTAGACTAACGGTGAATTAACGGTATTTAACGAAAAAGTTAAATGGATAATCATATAATTAAGGATAAATTAGAAAATTTTTTAAAAAAATTAAAACCTGAACAATTTGAACCATTCATTTGATTTAATAATTTGACGGTCATTTTTTTACCCAATGTTAATAATTAAATAAATTCGTTGGTCAAATCCGCTAATATAATCCGCGCGCTAACTGCTGATTGTCAAACAAGGACATTGCAAGGTAGTTCTCACTTCAATTTGTTGTGTGATTTGAATACTCTCTTTGTCACAAAATCTCTCTAAGTAGTTAATATGGATGGCTTTATTAATTATATATTTTTTTAATTTTTTCATGGTATTAATAAAATACATGGTAAATAAATATATAGCATTATTTTGTATTATAACTTTGATATTTAATTATCAAAATAGTGCACAAAAAAGATAATAGACAATGTAGTGAATATAATCAATTGATGAATTTGAATGTAAAAATTTTTACATTTGAGAAAAATAAAGACAATATAACTAATGAAAATATTTCTCTTAATTAATTTATTGATAATGAATAATTTTTTTTCACTGAATTAAGACATTGTAAGGACAATGCAGCGAATATAATCAATTAATAAATTTGAATATAAAGAATTTTTATATTGTAGAAAAATAAAGACAATATAACTAATACAATTATTTCTCTTATTTAATTTATTGATAATGAATAATTTTTTTTTGAATAACGGCATTGTGGACACATAATTCTAAATTAAAGAAATGCATATCTATAATCTTTTGTTGTAGCTATTAAATTATTATTTATATAATTTAATAAGAGTAAAATAGAGTACTAATTATGCCAACTTTGATTGGGATGAGGTTCGAACCTAAGACCTTTTTTTTAATTTTAACGGAATTAGTAACGGTGTGTGGGTACTTTAGGAAATTTTAGTGTAAATTTTAAATCTTATCAATCTTTTAATCAATCTGAGCCATTCATTTGATTAAAATCTGTGACCGCCATTTTTTCTACCCATTATAGGTCTAACTCTCTTGGGCTCTTATTAGTATAGTAGATATATATATATATATATATATATATAAAAGGCTAAAGTGTCATCCCGCACCATGAACCATTCTTGATTATTCATGTCGCACCATGAACTTTAATAAGTGATATTTAGATTCATAAATCATAATTTTTTTTTCGTCTAGAACTTTTTACAGGTTTCCTACAGGTTACCGGTAATAATATTGCTGACATAGAATTTTTTATTAGTTTTTTCGATATTTTTCTACTTTCGCCTTCGTATTATAATTTGTTTCGTATTTTTATTTTTTTCTTAAATATATAGGCCTGCTCTGCGTTTTTCGCTTCTCGTTTTTCCAATCAGGCCTGCTCTGTATAGACCTGCTCTGCGGAGTTTGGTATCGGAGAAACGAGAAGCAAAAAACGCAGAGCAGGACTATACGTTTAGGAAAAAAGAAAAATACGAAAAAAATTATAATACGAAGACGAAAGAAGAAAAGTATCAAAAAAAACTAATAAAAAATTTCATGTCAGCAATATTATTACCGGTAACCTGTAGGAAACCTGTAAAAAGTTCTAGACGGAAAAAAAATTATAGTTTATGGCTCTAAATATCACTTATTAAAGATCATGGTGCGGCATGAATAATCAGGAATGGTTCATGGTGCGGGATGACACTTTAGCCTAAATAAAATTTAGGATCATATACCAGGACTATGTGGTCCAATGGTACCCGGGTTGGACTTCCATTTGGATTTGGAAGATTGTGAGTTCGAGCTTCCTACATTCTAATAGAGCTAGTAGCATTCAAAAAAAAAGTGCATTCATCTAATATTTTTTAATGGTCTAGATTATATTAAGTATGTGCGAACAAATCGTGTGCATTCATCTAATATTTTTTAATAATATAAATTAGATTAAGTGTGTGCGAACGCTAATTAAATATTAGATAGATGCGATTTGTTCTCACATAAGCAAGTGTTCTCATTGGAACTCTACTATATATATATATATATATATATATATATATATATATATATATATATATATATATATATATATATATATATACACACACACACATACAAATCTACAAATTTACAAATCTAATAAGAACCAATAGTGTTAGGTCTTTAACTGAACCAAAAAAATATCATTAGTAATTGTTTCTTAAAATGAATGATTCATATTATTTTAATTTTAATATTTTTTAAATGATTTACATTATTTACCCTCTATTATATTATTTTCTTCCCTTAAAAAATCATAAATTCCGTTAGTATAAACTTGAGTAACGGAATATTCCGTTAATTATTTATTATTCTTAACATACTCATTAATAATTTATATAAGAGAGGTCTTAGGTTCAAACCCCATCCCAATTAGAGTTAGTATAATTGTTAAACATATATTATGAATATGTTAAAATGTATTAATATATATATATATATATATATATATATATATATATATATATATATATATATATATATATATATATATATATATATATTGAATCCAATGAGACCCCTATTAAGATGAAATGGTGAGACGACATCTTGACCATTTATAAATTTGTAATGGAAGGATGAGATTGAATAAGAAATATACTGTAAATAAGGCCATAATTTAATTAAGAGGGTTAAAGAGTAATTCTATTAATGTGTTAATTTTGGTTAGAATTAGAATAGAATCTTTGAATTAATGAAAGACCACAAATATAATGGGAATAAGTAGTAATCCAATATGGTTAGTAGTTGTACCACTCAAACCGTGAACAAAGGGTGTTGAAGCGCAAGAACATTGCAGAAGTTGAAGATGGCGGCTACTATCACAGGTATGAGCTGCTGCCTTGATTTATAAATTGTTTTCTTGATTTATATATATATATATATATATATATATATATATATATATATATATATATATATATATATATATATATATATATAGACGGGTTCAGGTGCGGCAGTGTCTTACAGTGCGGTTATTTCTTACGGTGCGGCAACATCAATAGTTCACCAAATATGCACCATCAACGTTAGGAAATACACCACACAAAACAGAGTAAACAGAGCCCTGCATCACCAAACACACACCATTAGGTGTGAGTAAAAACATCATACACTGTTCGGAAATACACCATTGGGGGTGGTGAGTTATATGGTGTGTTTTTTGAGTCTGTGGTGTATTTTGTGATGTTTTATTACATTTCATTGGGGTGTGTTTTTATTACATTGTTGGTGCATATTGTTAACACTGTTGGTGTATTCTGGAATTTGACCGCACCGCCGCACCGTAAGACCCCGCCGCATATGAGCGCTCTTCTATATATATATATATATATATATATATATATATATATATATATATATATATATATATATATATATATATATATATATATATATATATATATACACTAGTTCTTTAAGCGCATTGTTTTTTTTTTAAATAAGTATTTTAACGTATATCAAGGCAAGATTATATTGGGATTGTTCATAATTGAATATTGAATTTGTGCTCGCATGGGTAGCTCAACCTGTCATAGAGGCCCACAACCTCTTAAAGTGAGGGGGCTCTTTGTGCGCAGTAGACAAAGGTCGAGTTTACTTTTTTTATCAATAAATCTTCTAAGTAGTTAATATGATTGACTTAATTTTTTTTTTTATTTTTTTAACAATTATTATTATTATTATTATTATTATTATTATTATTATTATTATTATTATTATTATTATATGTATACCTCATTTTACATGTTAATCTAAATAACTAATTTTTAAAAATATCTTTTTACCAACCGTTGATATAATTCACTGGTCAAATCCGCTAACGCTAACCGCTAACTGCTGATTGTCTAACAAAGACATTGCGAGGTAGTTCTCACTTCAATTTGTTTTGTGATTTGAATATTCTCTTTGTCAACAAATCCGTGATTAGTCATTTCAAAATTTTATCTGTACAAACCATCATAAATAAGACTGATGAAACAAAACATGGGAAACTGACCCGAGTGGTTATTCGATTATATATATTTCATGTCAGGTAGAATGTCATGTCAAAATAAATATTTAAAACAAAAAAAATTGAAGTATAGTTGGACTACTCCATACCGATTATACAGTCATTTGCCTTATTTAAAGGACCATCAATTTTTTTCATGAAGACCATATTGGAAAGGAGGAAACATTTATTTTGCTCAACAATCAGCATATCGTTTGTAGTTTTACCACTTCAAACCAGTCATCAAGCTTGTGATTTCAACTACAATGGTACGTAGTCTTAAATTATATTTCTCTTCATTATATTAATAGTACGCCGATAACAAGATGTTTAATATTAGGTGAAGACATATGTTGTGTTTATCGGTCGACAACCAAGAATATATGATAATTGGGAGGATGCAAAAGCTCAAGTGCATCGATTTAGCGACAAAATCGACAATTTATATAAATCATATACCAGTAAAGATGAAGTCATTCAAGCTTTCAACAAATTCATAAACAATCAACAAAACGATGTTGAGGAATGCAGTTCAAGTTTAGGTTCTAGTACCACAACACAAAATGCAAAAAAAAATCTTCTAATGCCGAGATTTTAGAGCGTATGCAGCAGGAACTAGCACGGGAGACTCATGAACATGCTATGAGAGTTGATGCAATCATTGAAGAATGTAAACATCTACTTTCAAAGTAAAAAAAATTAGTATGTATGTTTATATCTTTAATTCAATGTGTATTGTTAAAAAAAATGAGTATATATGCTTATTATCATTAATTGAAAATAAATATTCTGTTTAAAAAAAAACATGTAGCCAAAACATTAAAAAGTTAAACAGTTGGACTAGGGGAGTCCAACTTAAGAGCTAAAAAAAAAAATTAACAGAAACGAAATTCTCAAGTCTGTTTGTTGCTTCCCCTTTATATACCCTTCAACCTCTGTTCACATTTTATTTTAGACTACGAATCTCACTACTATTTAGTTTTTCTTTTACGGTTCAAACATATCAAATCTAGTTTTTCACACCAAATCCAATTTTTCAAACACAACAACACCCTTGGATACAATATTTTATTATGGCAGCATTTTTCGGGAGTTATACTACTGATGGCACAACATCTTCTTCAACGATGGTGGAAAGTTCTTCGGAGACAGATGAAAGTTATATACCTGAGTCTATACCATCAAGTAGTGAATACACTACGGACGACGACATAGATGAGCCAGTTGCAGTTGACTTCCAAACAATGGGACAAACTGCTCAATAATATGGGGGTCGAGGTATAACTGCCCCTAATTCTGCTATTCCTTTCCATCATTCTCCAATACCACAAATGACAAACACATTCAGCCACGGGTTTACAGAGAGGGATGATCAAGAAATGATATCATATGACCCCTCAACAAATGTCATATGCATCAGAATGGTTTTCCCAGATTTTCCAACACTTAAAAAAGCTGTATCAACTTACAGTAGTCATCAAATGCGGAGCTTCATAACAAATCACAAGAAAAAAAAACCAATTGGAAAGTCTCGTGTCCAAATTTCCATGCAATACCATCTTGTGGCTGGACATTATCAGCAAGGAAATTGCATGGGGTATCTTCTCAATGGATGGTGACAAAGTTCTTTGAACCACATGATTGCACAGTACAATACAACCAAGGAGGGGCAGACAGAATGTGCAGCAGCGCACTAATTAGTGATTTGATTTTCCAAAAGATCGTTGTCGACCCACAATACAAAATCAAACACATCCAAGTAGATGTGCGACAACACTATGGTGTGGACATTTCGTACAGGAAAGCATGGTACGCCCGACAAAAATGCATTGAAATGCAGTACGAAAATTTCCAGCAATCCTACAATGATCTCCCATAATTCTTGTGTAACTTGCAAGTGTCCAACCCTGGAACGATTGTCGAGATACAGTGTATGCTTTCTGAACTACGGGGTCCAGAATACATGCATTTCATGTATGCATTCTGGGCTTTCAAGCCGGCAATTGATGGATTTCGCTACTGCGTCCAAGTTATTTGTATTGATGGCACACACTTGCACAACCGGTACAAAGGACATCTTCTACTAGCATGCGGATACACTGCAAACAAAGAAATATATCCACTGACATATTCAATCGTTGACTCGGAAAATAATGCCAGCTGGACTTGGTTTCTATGACTACTCGTCGTACATGTCTTTCCCGATTACGATTCAATGTGCATCGTTTCGGATAGACATGTTGGAATAGAGGCGGCATTTAAGGAAGTCAAAGAATTGTAGGGTCGAGCGAAACGTAGGTATTGCCTCCGTCTCCTTCGCAACAATGTATTGACGAAGGTAAGCAGAAACCGGTGGTTACGTAGATTAATATGGGAAGCTGGTACTAGACCATCCAACAACACTAACCCAATGCATACAACTATCTTGCAAAACTCGATGAAGAGGTGTGGACATTATGTCACAATGGTGGTCATCGGTACAGCATTATGACAACCAATCTATCTGTGTCATTTAATAACTCAATTAAGAGTTGCCGGATGTTGCCTGTCACGGCAATAGCACGGATAACTTTATACGAGTTACGAACAATGTTTGCGGACAGACGTACTACGGGGGAGATGATGCATCAACAGCAAATGGTTTTCTCGCCAAAGATTTAAGAAGATTTGGTTGCTAGAGAGAATGAGTCAAATAATGCAAGCATCCACAGATATAATGACACTATTGGCATCTATGGCGTTGCTATAATTTCTGGATATATGGCTCAAGGTCTACACACTCATTTTCACGTTAACTTGACTGAACGTACCTGCAACTGCGGCATGTGGAACGTGGCTGGAATACCGTGTGCACATGTGATAACAGCTTGTAATTTCCGAAGGGAGGCATTTTACCAATTCGTGCCACAAGTATACTCCGTCCAAAACTACAGGAACTCTTACGCAGGTAATTTCTATCCATTGGATGAACATACTCAGTGGACAAATCATATCATTTACCTTCCACCTATTAACGCTAAGCCACGAACACAAAGAGGCCAACGATGAACAACTAAGTTTCCCAATGAAATGGACTTTAGTAGCAATCGCATAACAAAATATAAGTATTGTCAAAAGAGAACACACTGTTCTATGCAATGTCCAAATTTGAATCATTAATAAAATCGAATATTTTAGTACAACATTCATTAATTTTTTTTTTATTTTTTATTTTTTTTATTTACAACATAATCAAAACTGAACTTTTAAATCAATAATATCAAATAACATATTAAAATAAAATATTATTTTATTTTTTTATTTTTTTCGTAGGACTGTAGCAGTCAGACATGGTCTGACTGCTACAGCCACACGGACTTAGTAGTAGTCCGTGCGGTCAAAGTCACGAACTACTAAGTCCGTCTATAACTTTGTTACAAACAAAGTTATAAATGTACATAGTAATCCGTGTCAAACTTTGACACGGACTACTATTGAAGATATGATTGTTACATTCCTTCTCATCAAATACAAATACGAAGACATTATTATTAATTGAAGCCTAAATACATAATTCGAAATACAGTGGCAATACGGAGAACTTAAACAGCACAAACGGAGACCGAGTATTTAGGGGAGAGAAACGCACTCCCCAAGGTCAGTTTTCCTTGATATCCGCTAATTATTTGACCAAAGTTTATGTTAAATTATATATATATATATATATATATATATATATATATATATATATATATATATATATATATATATATCTAAAACATAATAAGTGTCAATACAAGTTATGTCCTTGATTTTTGTCCCTTTTTTATATGCTAATAAATATATACATTTTGCTTTAATTGTTGTACATTCATTTGCATTGGACAAAATCATCCTTACATCGTTATAACACCGTTAATTTTTAATATATCTACCAATCTTACCATACACCTACATCTATCATATATTTTTCCTATTTTAATTATCATTTTATTAAAATTATCATATAACAATTAATTTAATTATAAATTATATTTTAATTAAATATTTATATGAATGTTAAATTACATATGTGTATCATATATATATATATATATATATATATATATATATATATATATATATATATATATATATATGTATGTATATTATTTGTTTATCCATATCAATATATCATATATGTGAGGGTTAGCTTAGTATTATTTGTAAATTATTATTATATAAAAATATAATTTTATTATTTTTTTGTTTTGAACACTATATTATTCAAATATATGATAATTCAAAAGTATCATCACTTTAAGAAATTGCAAAACATAATTTTAACTAATTTTTTAAATTTTGTTACTTACAAATATTTTAATATTGGGTATAAGTTTTCGCGTATCGCGCGTACAAAATGCTAGTATATACAGTATAAAATCTAAAGACAAAAGTCAAAATCCCTTAACCCCTTTGGCCATCTCAGTTTATCACATAATAATCACATTCTTCCTCACTTCTCCTCTTGCGCTGTCGCCGGCTCTGTCTCCACTGGGAACTGGCCCTGTGACGCCGGCGATTCTCCGTCTCATCGCATCCTCAGCTAGTCGGATCCTCCGTACTCCTCCGTCTGCTCAGCGGCTCGTCGCCTCCAACCCTCTGCTCGGTCCGCTCCAGCCTCCAGTACTCCGCGATTGAGCCGTGAGCGAGTCCTGAGTCCGCGTCTCCACCGGCCCCTCTAGCGACGCCCGGTGACCCCACCGCTCCAATCCTCCGTCATTCCACTCTCCTCGGCTCCTGCTGACTGCCTCACTGCCCAGGTTTGTTTTTTTTTTTTTTTTTTTTTTTTTCCAAGAGCAATGTAAGGTTTTGCTCTTTACCACTTCATTAGGTCTTTTTTCTGTATATATATATCTGTTATATCTTCTCGTAAGGAATCTTTAATGTAATGTTTCTCTTAAAGATATACTACTTTGCTATATTGTCTTCCTTCAAATTGTGTTCTTGTGATGGCAATCTTATAGCAGTACAGGTTTGCAAAGTGTGAACTGTGATAAATTGATTAAATTCTGCCCAGAATTTATACAAAAAAAATCGGTTAACTGATTAACCCGAGAACAAAATTCGGTTGGATTAACCGAACGCACACCTCTCTCTCTCTCTCTCTCTATATATATATATATATATATATATATATATATATATATATATATATATATATATATATATATATAAATTGATCGATTTTTGCAGTGACTTGTCTCACTGCAAATGTGCAGGAAAAATCATCCCTCATCTAAATGGTAATAATAGTATTAAAATATGGTGATATACCTGGAAGAAAAGGTTGAAAGTTGAAACTATGTTGTTCTAGTAAGCAGACTGAAGAATTGCATATGGTGATGATACTGCAAATCCTTCCACTGATTTATTGTTTTGGACTTATGAAAGCCTTTTCTTAATGAAGTAATCTTAATGATTTTGAGTTTGTGCCCTATAGACTTATGTGAAAAGTTTGTTTCTGGCTTTCTGCTGCAATGCAATTGTGTATTTTAACAACTATTACTGCTGAATGGTGCTGTTATTTAATCTTGGTTTGGATCTCTAGTATTGATTTGAGAATTAAAATACTTTCTCATTATCAAAGTGTTGGTATATAGTTCAGCTACTTGATTACCAAAGCATAAGAGGAGATTAAATTGCTAAAAATTCTTTAATTTTCTATCAGTCAGTCTGGGAATTTAAAAACTATTCGTTACATTCAAGTTATTTTTCTATATTTGGTCTTGCTTCTTGGAACAAAACCATAATTATTTGCGCTAGAAAACTAGGAAATGTTGGGAATTGGATTCCCAAACCGAACCTAATTTCTAATCGAACCAAATCCGAGCCGAAACCGAACTTTTCCAAACCGAACCAAACTGCAATGTTAAACCGAATGGGGTTTCATTTTTCTAAAACCGAACCGAATACCGAATCACCCACCCCTAGGTTAGGGTGCTATTGCTTTCAATTTAATATTTTTTTTTAATCAATTTTACTCCAAATTAAAAATGCCTAAGCCAAATTATGATAGTGGCAATGATGGTTTTTAAAAGCAATTTTGAGTGAGGGATTAGACTGGGTTATCAGGTTATGAGCACGCATTACTTAACATCACTAATTCACTATTTGATTAACTACACGGTGTGTGTATGCGTGTATTCTTCTGGATCATTAAAAAAAATATTTGTTAAAATTCAATTGGATTCTGATGATGGGTTTGTATGGAATCCTTCAACTGAGAGTTCATTATCACAATAAAACTTTTTATGAATAAGTAGACTAGATTAAATATAACTCGCTGTTGGTTGTAACGTAGGAATTTTATAGTTTTTATTTTTTATTTTTTTAGTTCATAGTTAATAAGGAGTAATATGTAGGTTTGACTAGAGTTGACAGGGGTAGGGATTCCCCATCCCCTAAAATTCTTAAATTCTCCATGGGCACAGGATGGAGAAAGAATTCCTTACCCCAGCGGGGACAAGAGGTGGGGTGAGGGACGGGATGGGATTTCAGGGGTGGAGAGACAAGGAATATGCTCGCGATCCCACGTCACCCGGTTGCCATTCCTAGTTGGGTTGAAACTTTAGATGTAGGCCTACACAGGTCAGCATGCCAGACTTATTGAAATATTTTTAAAAATCATATTTCCTAATTCCTAAGCCTAAACTCCTAATTCCTAAATCCTAAATGGCTGTCGGCAAATGTGTAATTCCTAATCTCGTGAGAGCCTAAGATGAAGATTGCAGAATCCTTGTGGTCGCTGGCCCCATCCACCAGTATGTAGCCAGGCAGCAGTCGTATTCTGAAATCTCAGCCTTCATTTGCTGTCTGCTAATGTTGCCTTGCCAATCATTGTTCGCCAACTTTTAGCCTCGCCTCACATAAACAAGGCATGCTGCATGCTGTATGGAATTGTATTTATAGCTTCTTGTAAGTTCCAAGATTTGAAAAATCCCTGCAGGGATGTGGAGGGGATTTCTTTCCCCGGCAGGGCATGTGATATACTGATATGCCCCCACCACACCCCATTGCCATATCTACTGTCAGTTCTATTTAGCAGAAACTCTTTAAGTTCTATGTGAAAAAGGTATTCGCTTTTGTAATTATGTATTAGGGCTTTGCTAATACTGTTTGGGTCATGTAAGTTATTGCTATAGTATTATTGACTTCAATTTTCTTCTTTATGTGTGTATGTGTTTTTATAATTATATATGTATGAGTGTAGTTCTGATAATATTGTGATGCTATTTTTCTTGTGATAATTCTTATGGAAAATGCTGATGTGCTAAGCTTGCTATTTCTGATTGGTGTTTGGTGTGCAACATTTGTAGTTTGCAATTTTGCTTCTGGGCTTGGTATCATTCCATTTCCTCTGATACTATATTTCTGCTTGATCTTAAGAGTTCAGCAAAGACATAAGATTAAGGAGAATGGGCTATGCACAGCTGGTTATTGGCCCTGCAGGCAGTGGAAAGGTGATTAATGAACCTTGTTGCTTCTCATTTGGACATGTGTTTAGTATGCAACACAGATATATTTGATTTCATGTCTCTTTACAATTTCCACTTGTTAGCATGTTGCATCAAGGACTGATAGTATTAATCATTTGCTTGTGGCAGTCAACTTACTGCTCAAATTTGCATCGACATTGTGAAGCCACACGACGAACAATCCATATAGTGAACTTAGATCCTGCAGCAGAGAATTTTGACTATCCAGTGGCTATGGGTGAGTATGTAGGAGTGTATTATTTCTAATTAATTTAGAAGTGCAATACACACACATTTTAAACTGCTTTCTATTTGGTGCAGACATCAGGGAACTGATTTCGCTGGATGATGTTATGGAGGAACTACATCTAGGCCCTAATGGTGGCCTTATTTATTGCATGGAGTATCCTCTAAGCCTTTCCTATTATAAGAGCATGATTTTATGGTTCTTGAGTTTGAATTAGAGCAATTAAGATCATGATTCATTATCATTGTTTCACTAGAATTTCTTAATCGTAGTTGCTTCAAAATATGCATTCCCTTAATCATGATTCAGACACCTTGAAGAAAATTTGGATGACTGGCTAACAGAGGAGTTGGATAATTATATGGATGATGACTACCTAGTTTTTGACTGCCCAGGTACTTAATATGTATGTATGTGTGTGTATACATCATGTAGAACTGAAAATTCTTACATGTAGCTACTGGGTGATGGTTTCTACCATGAAAATTCATTGAAAACAAGTGCTTGTTTGGCCTAAAGCTTATTTACTTATATACTCTAAGAAGCCATTAGCTGATTAGCTTGGCCAAACATTTTTTTTTTTACAAATTGCCTTTCAGAGTAGATAAGAAGCAAATCAAGCAATTTCCTTTTTCTTGAGAAGACCCAATTGGGAGTGACATGGATCTTTTAATGATAATTTTATATTCCAAAATTAGCCTTATTCCTTCTAAATCATTACAAAGAAATATATTTGGAAAAGATTTTTTTAATAAGTTCTTTTTGAAATAGATCTTTTTGCCTCTAATGTGTTTCCTGTCCAGACTGCGATTTTATTGTTTGGGGTCAGTCATTTCTGTGTTTACAAATATTGCAATTGTTTTACAGGTCAAATTGAACTCTTCTCACATGTTCCTGTGCTGAAGAATTTTGTGGAACACTTAAAGCGAAAGAATTTCAATATCTGCGTAGTTTACTTACTTGATTCTCAGGTATACACCTCTCCTCATACATACCATTGATGCCCTTTGGTAGCTCATGCGCATTATATTATTAAGCATCCCGTTGTAATGTTTCAGTTTATCACGGATGTGACCAAATTCATTAGTGGTTGTATGGCTTCCCTCTCTGCAATGGTTCAACTTGAATTGCCTCATGTCAACATTCTCTCAAAAATGGACCTTGTGACAAATAAAAAGGATATTGACAAGTTAGTCCTTTTGCACCCGGATGTTGCTTATATCTGTATAAATCATTACTGCCCATGCCACAAACTTAAAGCGTTCTTTAACTTATTTTCTACCTGCAGTTACTTGAATCCAGAGCCTCACTTGCTATTGGCAGATTTGAATCAGCGCATGGCTCCACAATTTCAAAAGCTTAACAAATCTTTAATTGAGTTGGTAAGAATGAAGAGTCATATTCTAATTAATGATTGGATTCTGACTGGTAAAATTCAGACAGCTTTCCATATAATACTTAGCATACCCATGCACACTTGTGTAATTAAGATATATACCAAGTGACTAGCCATTTTACAAAATCTGTTTTTTTTTTTTTTTCTCTGTATTCTCAAGTACTTTTGTGTTGCGATAATATAAATGCTTACCAATTTGCAAATGCATCCGTGTCCATGTCTGGTGTAATCAAATGGGTTTACACTAGGGGTAACCCCAACCAAGATGGCAAGAGATCCACACTTGTAACCACAAGGTCACAAGTTCGAATCCTTGCCCCCTTGGTTTGAGCCGGTCAGCTATGGGTAATCTAGGCTGGTTTACTTCCTTGTGGTCTTTTGCTAGCTAGAGTCACAAGGCAGGGTTTTCCTACATCCAAAATGGTTGTGGGGCTTCCCTCGTCACCCAAAAAAAAAAAGGGTTTGCACTAGGGTTTCTCATTACTTAATAATTCTTTGTTGCATCAGGTGGATCAGTTTAGTATGGTCAGCTTTATGCCGCTTGATTTGAGGAAAGAGAGCAGGTGATGTATTCCTACGTGTTTATGTAGTCTTATGATGGCTTGTTTCCTTGGGCATTCAAAGAAGTTGAACTATTATGTTTTAATAATTTCCTTTATCTGTTTACCATGCTTCATACAACTGCCCAAAGCTTTGTCACAAAACTCACATATTATGCCCTTTCTGCAGTATACAATACATCCTGTCACAGATTGACAACTGCATTCAGTATGGTGAGGATGCAGATGTGAAGGTCAAAGATTTCGACAACGAGGAGGATGATTAAACCTTCATGTTTTTGGCGGTTTCGGAGAAGTTAAAAATGCTTTTTTGAAGGTGAACGATGGACTAACGATTTTGCAACTTTGTATCTTAGTGTTGTTATTTGTCAAACTTACTGCTAATTTGTTGCTTAATATTTGGAAGTGATCTCATATTTGTTCTTTCAAGTTGCCCGACATTGTAATTATCATTGGTTCCAAAAGCTTCCAAGAAATGCCTAGCTTGAAGTGTATCTCATCTTTAATTATTCGGTAGTATTTGGTAAATGGTTGATAAGCAAAAAATTGGCTGGTTTATCTGAAGTTTGGCTAGTTTGATTGGTCAATAACGTATGGGAAAAGGGTCAAAGGCTCCTAAAATTTACACCAAAAATCAATTAGGATCCTAAACTTTAAAAAAGTGTAATTAAATTCTTAAATATGTTTTTTTTTTTTTAATTAAATTAGTCAAATTTATTGATAACCTGGTTACCGGTAAAATTAAATCGTTGACCGCTATATTTTGCCTTTGACCAAAGCAAATTTTATTGAAAAAATCAAGAACAAATTGCACTTTTGGTCCTGTGAGTATTAGGGTACTGACAATTTAAGTACGTGACTTTCAAAACTCCCAATTTAAACCTTTAACTATGCAATTTTTAGCACATTTGGTCCTCTGGGCCAAATTGCCGGCCAATTTTGGCCGGAAAAAGATTTAATGTTTCGAATTTATTTCTGATGAGGGTAAAAACGTCATTTCACTCTCTTCTTCTTCATTCACCCCTTCTTCTTCGTTCTTCTTCTTCTTCATCCTTGCACTGGGAGCACATCCACGCCAATGGAATTCAAAGAGGGAAGCTCACCTTCTGTAGCAATGCTTGCACATCAACTCCAGCACTGATCAGGGCATAGCAGAGGCGAGCCCGTGAATGGCTAGGGAACGTGGTGAAATCTTGTATACGATTTACAGAGCCCTTACGTACGGCCTGTCGCCACTGTTATACCTCCATCTGCGGTGGCGCAAACGCCGCGGCCTCGAGCATCCCCTCCGGTGGGTCGAGCGTCTTGGTCGTCCTTCTCTCCCTCGTCCCGCTGGCCCCCTCGTCTGGTTCCATGCCGTCTCGCTAGGTGAATCTCTCCTCCTTTCTCGTTACATCCAGTGGCGGAATTAGATTGAATACCTCGTTTAATGTTCATATCTACATTGCATAAACTAGTCGAAAATTAGAAATGAAAATAAATAAATAGCCATTCCCTAACCATAAGTATAGTTATGCCTGTTTGTGTTATTGTGTAATAATGTTTAAGTGTACCCAGTAAACTATTGAGTGAACTTCGAGTTGAGGTTTTACTTTTTCTTTTCTGAACTAATGATATTTGTGTGTAATGCGGTTGGTTATCAGTAATTTCATTTTATTTTTTACTATAATTTGGGAAATAGGCGAGGGAATGGCAGCGATTCCCGTGATCAAATGCTGCATAGAAAGGAGGCCGGATGTAACGGTCCTAATGACTACAACCACTTCATCTTTTGAATTGAATATCTACAATGGTTAAATTACAGTCTGATTATTATGGCCAATGAATCAACTTTGTCATATTTCCTTCCTTCAACTTTGTCACTAGCCCCAGGATGAAGAAGAAGAAGAACGAAGAAGAAGGGGGTGAATGAAGAAGAAGAGAGTGAAATGACGTTTTTACCCTCATCAGAAATTAATTCGAAACATTAAATCTTTTTCCGGCCAAAATTGGCCGGCAATTTGGCCCGGAGGACCAAATGTGCCAAAAATTGCATAGTTAAATGTTTAAATTGGGAGTTTTGAAAGTCACGTACTCAAATTGTCAGTACCCTAATACTCACAGGACCAAAAGTGCAATTTGTTCAAAAATCAACCATGGACCAAATGGTCACCTTTAGTTTCCTTCTCCTGACCGCAATTGAAAAAGGAACTTGTATCTTGTATAAGGAACTAAGGAACTTTACTCGGTACAAATAAGGAAACACTTGATTACTGTCTTCAGGTGTGTGAAACATATTATTCTAAAAGTTTATGATTTCTTTTGCTAAGCAACAACGGTATGATTTGAGATACAAGAAAATGTCAAAATTTTTGAGGTTGCTTTTATGAGAAATTCACCAAGGGAGTAACTTTGATTTTTAGTATATAAAAATTATTTCGTAAACTCTGAGTAACTTAGTCAATAATCATATATCTTACAAAGTGACTTGTGGTCCACTAGTATCTGACCTCCTCCCTTATATGTAGGAGGTCTAGTATTTAACAACTCAGTTAAATAAATATATGATTATATATGAGAAGTTCATACATAAGTAATTTAATGTCGAATTTGTTTATTTAAATATGTAACTCATAATATATGAATACAATGTAATATAGGAGATGTGTTCTAATATATTTAATGAATGCACATATATACAAGATCAATGAATGAATCAACGGTACCAGTTCTTTAGGTGTTTTGCTCAGTGTTCATTTAGTTCAATCATTATTGTTGAATAAATTATTATGAATAAAGAATTCCTAATTTAAGAAATTTAAATGTAGTAAAAATTTAAAATTTTTAATTATATTGTACCCCAAAGATATTGGACGATTGGTAAATATAATGTAACCCAAAGATCAAAATGCTAAAGAAAGTGTTTGCTTATTCAACAGTTTGAAACAACAATTTGTTCCAAACCACTGAAAATACAAACATTGCAATTTACAATATTTTCACTTAGCATTTTTGAGAATGATTTCTCCTAAACACCTCTATATTTTTTTCAAAAAAATTACTATAGATCAGAGTCATTTCGAGTTTCGACTCCTTGAATAACAAGAGCCAGTTTTACTGGCTCACTGCTTGCCCATCAACGGATGGGCAAACTTAATTTTTAAATTGAAATAGGAGCCTCAAGGCTCCCATGCCACTTTTCCCACCGATGTGGGAAAAGTGGCAAAACTAAGGGGAGTCGAACGTTCGGCTCCCCATATGTTTTATTTTTATTTTTTATTTTTTTTTAATTTTATTTCTTTTATTAAATTATTATTATTATTATTTTTAAAACTATTATTATTATTATTATTATTATTATTATTATTATTATTATTATTATTATTATTATTATTATTATGAAATATATGTATAACTTATGTTATTTTACATGTTAATCTAAACAGTTAATTTTTTTAAATATCTTTTTACCAATCGTTGATATAATTTGCTGGTCAAATCCGCTAATATAATCTGCTAACTTTAACCGCTAATTGCTGATTGTCAAACAAGGATATTGCGAGGTAGTTTCCCACTTCAATTTATTGTCTGATTTGAATACTCTATTTGTCAACAAATCCCTCAAGTAGTTAATATGATTGGTTTAACTATATATTTTTTTTAAAATTTTTTCATGGTATTAATAAAATACTTGGTAAATAAATATATATCACTATTTTGTATTATAACTTTAATATTTAATTAAAAAATAGTGCACAAAAAAGATAATAGACAATGTAGTGATCAATATAATTAATTGATGAATTTGAATGTAAAGAATATTTTTTACATTGGAGAAAAATAAAGACAATATAACTAATGAATTATTTCTCTTAATTAATTTATTGATAATGAATACAGAGTAATATTTTTTTTGAATAAACACATTGTAGGGACAATGTAGCGAATATAATCAATTGATGAATTTGAATATAAAGAATTTTTATATTGGAGAAAAATAAAGACAATATAACTAATGAAATTATTTCTCTTATTTAATTTATTGATAATGAATAATATTTTTTTAATAAAGGCATTATAGACACAAGCGGCCGAAGCCCTAGAGAAATAATATCGCATATATTATTCTCTCTTTTTCCATCATAAACTCTCGTTTATAGTATTTTACGGTAGTGTTGGCCCGCCGACTGGCAACCAAAAGCCGTAAAACCAACATTGGCGTCGTCTGTGGGGATCGAAACTAAAGGTCCCGTCTCTAAGCTTTGTTAATGGCTCGTACCCGCCGTAGCAACCGAAACAATGGACAAAACGGCGTGGCCACGCTAGCAAACAACCATGTCGCTATCATTGTCGATGCAGGAGATCCACCAGCTGGCAGCCGCGTATCCGTGGGCGATCTAAGGGAGCGATTAAGTCACCGCACTTCAGGCGGGCAATCGGCCGCACGTATTGAGCGTACTGTCGCGCCGACTCATGAGTCACCAAGAATTGATCAACCACCACCCATCGCTCAGGCCCAAGCCAACTTCGCAGAGTTGGTGGCGCAAGCCTTCGACGCGTTCTTGCGGGAAAGAGGACCAGCTCTGCCCGCTGCGAACCTGCAGCCCGAGCGATCGATTCCTGCGGGAGACCGTGACAAGGTCTCTCAGCATTTGGGGCGTTTAGAGCGGCACACACAGGGGAACCCTCACGCTACCCGCTCGGTGCATTCACGGCTGGGCCAAGCGGCTCCCGCCCGGTCAGTGATGGACGGACTGGGGGGTCGAGCCAGGCAACACTCCCCCGCCCACTTAGTTTTGGGGGGAAGAGAACGGCCTGAGGGGGAACCACCCCAAGCCGTCATTCAAAGGAGGATAGCCGCCTGGCGCGGGCGAGAGGTCGTCGAAGGTACATGGGAGTCACTCTTGATCCCGGAACCGCCCAACCTGGTGATGGCCGACTTAGCCGCCGCGATTTAGGAGCTCTGTCGAAAAGTTAAGGAAAAAGAACGACCGCCGATGGACAGTCTATTAACTGCCTCCCCCTTTTCGGCAGAAGTGCAGGCTTACAGGGCGCCAGCGGAGTTTAAGCTGCCCGATCATCCCATCTACGATGGGACGGGCGACCCGCGATACTATGTTATCAGTTTTCAGGCCAAGATGCAGGTGATCGGCGCGGACGCTCCGATGATCGACCGGGCGTTCTTCCCTACATTGGTTGGGCCTGCCCAACAGTGGTTCCTCAGGTTGCCCGCGGGGTCGATTGGCAGCTTCGAGGAGCTAGCTCGTCAGTTCCTGACACATTTTGCAAGAAGCATGAAACTTAAGAAGTTCGTGTCGAACTTA